GATGAGAAAAAAAACATAGGAGAGTTCGCGATAAAGAATGTAATCCCATAATTTGTTTTACGGATGCGGAGAGAAATTAGCTTTCAGAGCGTTTTCATTATCGCAACGTTGATCTCATTGTAATGGACTCTGGGGATATCGAGATTTATCACTACAAACTTATCTTGGCTTCAAATGTTCGTATCTGTCAGATTATGGGATAACGCAAAGCCGTTATTGACATAATTTCAATCCTACGAATCGTTTAATCTCAAATATGAAACAAAGTTTAGAGAATAGTCGATGGCATAATTCATCTACTATCTTAAAAATACATCTTTTTATTGATAAGGGAAATTGTATCAATAATTATTTTTCGAAAACAATTAACATGATTTTTAATGTAATCATTGACCTAAAATAAAATTAAATTAATGCAGGTTTGAAATAAAAATATTGTTATAGTAATTTACAAAAAGAACACTCGCGTGAAAAAAACAAAACCATGAAAAAAGGAAGACAAAATGAGACATTCTAAGCCAGTGGAAGTATGATGAATAACTTTTTAATATTTACGTGCCTGGAAATAACATTAAAGACATTGAAATGTCCTATTCAAGTTCATAGCGTTCCTCAAATGTCTTGTAAACAAATATGAAAGAGACGTCCTCTTCTGCATGTGATAGGCACATATTTTTTTCTCAAATTTGAAATAAGCTTTGATGAAGGAGCGAGTCGCAGTAAAGGTCATAGGTGACGCAGGTCGTCATCGCAAGGGAAACCTGCTTAGAGAATAGATTTGACTGATGGGAGTGACTCGTGTGAGTCAATTACTGTTGATCACTGATGTGAAAATTATTTGGCAATCGATGAGGTGTTTATGGGTTTTTAAAATGGTACTTTATTTACGATTTATGCTATTTACGAAGGGCGCCGCGCGACCTGTGGCGCAATGATCTAACGACCGCTTTTAATCTCAATGGACGCAAGTCACATCTACGTGGAGTAACCTTCAGTTGTAAAGAATGAGGAAAATGTATAATACAGGCGTGTCTTTAAATAGAATATTATGCAACATGTGTATAATGTATTTTTTTGCTCAGTACTTGTTTTGATAATGAGCAACGTTAGTAGCGAGCTTTTTCTGTACGAATGAAATTAAACATTATAAATGAATTGCGAACATTATTTTTTGTAGTATATCAGGTTTGTAAATCTATATAAATAAAAATTAATTTTTGGAAACAACTTTATTATGACGTCAAGCCTATTTGAAAGTTGTGTGGAAAGGGGTCAGTTGTGCGATTTACTACCACCACCCTACGATTCGTTCGCTGTAATTCGGTTTCTGACATGTTCACCGACACTGCTACAGGAGTCGCTCACTCCGATTGGATGAGTGTGATGACGCAATTATTAGTGCCATCAACGGCTAACACGTCATAATATGCGCCATAAATATCACTTTACCAACGATTTCTGAGAAAGGAAATGGTCGTTTATTCTGGTATACAAAAATGGTTTTTATTCATCACTGTTTTTAATTTTCAAGCCATATAAATGTGTGTAATATTTTATAATAATAATAATAACAATAATAATAACAATAATAATAATAATAATAATAATAATAATAATATCGATTCGATTGCCAAAATCACTAAGGCAGTGTGCAGTGGCGGTTTTGAGCCAAAGGATCTGCGCCAGATTCGAGACCTGCCTCGGGCATGGTTGTGTTGTGTGTTTCTCTGTATGTCCGTGTTTATCTAATTCATCATCCATCATCATAATAATTTCATCCTATTCCCCTGAGATAACAACCTTGAGGTATAAAAATGGAATCAGCATTAAAATGCTGATTTCCCCCAATAGAAAAGTAACACGCACCTACCCCGATAATCAAGGTGGGATGCACGTATCGCGTGCTTCATGATGGCCGATTCGCGAAACAAAATTATAATAATAACAATAATATAATAATAATAACAATAATAATAATGATAATAATGATAATAATGATAATAATGATAATAATGATAATAATAATAATAATAATAATAATAATAATAATAATAATAATAATACCTTGATCCAACCATCAAAACAAAAAATTGTCTTTATTTGTCACGAGGCCCAGGATTTAAGGCTTCTCTTCCGCCTAACCACATAAATGAATTTATAATTTCAAAAATTACAGTTTAGGCGTTCCCTTTTTGTTCGGACCTAAGAAATATTAACTGAAATGTCATGCTACAGAAAAACTTCAATTTGACACCATCATCTACATGAAATTTATCTGTGTGAGCGAAGTAAATTTATAGTATTGTTTTGTTTCTTCTTATTAATTCAGATAATTTATTTTATGCGTTGTTACAACTTTTATTTTCTTCAGGCGTGCCAAATCGCGCCCACAAGAACTTTTTGCTTGCCTGGGTAGCTCAACGCATCTGCGAGCAAATGACAGTTCCCCAGACTGAGCTCGCGTTTCCCCTACATATCCAGAAAGAAGGGGACCTGGAGCGGCGTGAGGCAGGGAATGGTAATTTCTAATGAAAATACGTTTTCCAAATTTTCTCTATGAAACTACCGAGATTTGAATTTATATTCTTTATTAATTATTATTATTATTTCATATTTCTTTTCTTTTTAAATTCTGTCTTATATAAAGATTTTTTCAAGAGGTGGGAATATGTTTGAGTTGCGAATTTTATTCTTTTTTTAAATTTATTTATGGTCACGTCAACCACATTAGCGACTACTATAGATATTAACGATATGGTTAACAGTATGATATGATGTGGAGATGGTGAGGGTTGAAAGGACGAAAACAAATACAACCATGCCCGAGACCGCAATCTCGACCCCCGCGATCCTTCAGTCCGAGATCGCTACGGCACTACTGCCTTAACGATCTCGGCCATCCGGACGACAATACTATTAATGTTTTCTTATGTGTTTTGTTTTAACAGACAAGAATATTTCTCTATTAAACCTACTAACCTGATAAGGCATGCAAAAAAACAGCATATTATATGAAGGTAACTATTAAGTGAATTAAAACAAGATAGTTTCAGGCAACATTTGTTAATAGAAAATTATGTTAAAAAAACAAATATTATGGAAAAAACGTTGTACCCTCTTACTGTCTTTCTGTATGCGTCCCTTGTGAATAATATATATGAATGATTGAAATAAATGTAGCTATTTCACCTGTACTTTATTATATTTTTTTGTATTCCAGCATCATAAAAGAACCCTTTCTGTTGCAAGAAATCGTTCATAATCGGGCATTTTACGGCACAAATGATGAGGTATTAGATTTTATGTCATGAATGATTGCGTCATCTCTCATTCAGCCAATCGAAGCGAGAGAATCGGGGGGAGGTGGAGCTAAACGGAACAGCCCACCACCGTTTACTCGCACGATGTCAAATACCCGAGTCGTCACAGGGAAGTTGTTTCGCAAAATTAAGTTTGATTCTCTTATAATGCTTTTAGACAAATCGTATAATGCCTTTACACAAAAAATATAGTATGCAACTCGTTTATAATGTTCATTTATTACATTCGTACAAATTTGAAAACTCGCTCCTAAAGTCGCTCGTTTTCAAAACACGTACATATGCAATAAAGCTTAACATTATCAACTAATTGCATAAACTACTATTAAAGTATTTTAAATAAGACAATTCATTTTATAGAATTGCTTACTTAAGCAACTTTTGTTTATATAAGGTCATCTCTTTTCAAACAGCGACTTTGATACCTCTCTACTTCTGAAATATAAAATAGTCTCTCAATATATATTTCCTTGTTATTTCGTCGTGCAAAAGTTAAATGAATAATATATTAATTGACGCAAGTTAAATGATCAAATTATCCTTTCCTTCTCTCAGTACAATAGGTTTACCAAAGAGCAATTGCCTTTTTCGATTCCTTTGTTCAATCGTCTAAGCCTACCACACACGTCTATGCCTACACAACAGTGGTGCAACGGTCTTGTGCTGATCTTTCAATTTCATGTCAAAATATGCATATTAGCTGGCCTTCATAAATACTGTACTCGTAATGTTTGATATTTGCCCTGGCAAAGTAACTTCACCATGTATTTAGCAAAACATGTTTATGTAATTTGTGTATTTTCTATTCACGTTAATTGATGAAATTTAGTTATCTTTATCATGTAGTATACTAAAGTAATTATAACAATCTGTCTAAAAGAAATATTTCGTATTAGCATAAATATCTAATAAAGACCAGAAAAATATCATAAACACATATTGGCTTGTAGAGAAACAAATTGGAGCTTATGCAGAAATACCGATTGCAGATTTGAAAGCGAAAAAAGCATAAAGAAACAAATAAAATGCTTACTGGTATAATAATAGTGCATTATGAAACGATGATGTAATGATGGGTATTAATACACAAGTGTGATATTACGATACGAGCAAGGGACAAGCAAATATCGTAAACTCCACACGAGCGTATTAATACCCATTACATCGAGTTTCATTCGGTACTTTTTCTACGACTTATCCTAACTTTTATAAGTTAAACTTTAACATTGAATCGTTTCGTGGCAGTTGACATGCAGGATTGAACCAAGGCCATCTAGCGGACGGCTTACTAACCCTATCATTATTGAGATGGCTTTTGTTTACTACTGCGCTAAACAAATAGGATCAAAGTGAAATTACGATCCAATTTATTTTAAATAATACTTCACGTAAAAATTACTAAAAGAAATTAAAAATGATAAGCATAATATAACATTAAATGCAATTTTAATGTACACAATCGAACAAAACATTTACTATATAGATTATCAATTATTAATTAAGTGTCAATACTTGTTTTGTAAGCTCCTCTGTGATTGGTCAAGAACCTGCGTCATAATACAATCTGTATCGTAATGAGTATGATTAAGCAACGGGTTGCAACCATCAAATGCCAGATTCACACAACGGGAGTAGAAACGTTTATTTCTATGCACGCTCTCTGGCAGGGATGAGACTCACAGGAAGTCTTCGCGCGAGGTGCAGCGTGCCGGGTAGCGCGGGGGCGGCGGGCGCGCGTCCTCGGCGTCGGAGCCCGACCCGGAGCCGCCCGCCAGGTTCTCCACGCTCAGCGCCGACCGGAAGCCGGATTCGGGCGTGGACGCCGCGCTGCCCGCCGGCGCGCCCGCCACGCTCAGGTACTTGCCCTCCACATCCTGCACAAGAGGCGCGCGTTAGTGGACGGGGAGATTTTGAATGGTTTAACGATTTAAAACGTAAACCGTATGATGGGTTTGAATGTTAGTTGCCGCTTTGTAGGCAGACAACCGTGTATTGATTTATTTTTTTATTCGTGTGATTCCATTCGCGAGTATCACGAAAAAATACAACATTATTTATTATACTAATAGTAGATTAATTGTATTTGAAGAGATAACAGCAGTAATCATAATATGCTATTGGCAATTTGGCAATTTGTCAGATTGTAACAATTAAAATATATTATTATAATTCAATAAAATGTCACAATAGTAAGACAATAAATAATATTTTCATATGATACATAATCCAGAATACACCAAAGCGATACACTTAAATAACACTTAACACATGAATATAATTTCAATTTAATAACAAGGACAATTATAGATTATAAATACCCTTCCTTTTCAGCCATTTATTGATAAAGTGTAATAATAAAAATAATAATAATATAAAAAAAAACAGAAAGAAATAACTCTGTCTACAATAAACTAACATTTCAAAGTTGTCGAAGTTTATATAAGAAAAGCATCGAAAACAACGTATTTTTAAAGAAATGTATGGCGTCATGGTAGTGTGTTGCATGCTTTTAGTTACTTTTTATGTTTATGAGAAAGTTTGGTATCGATTTGAAAGAAACCGACCCCAGAAAGTGAATTAAAGTGAAGTAAGCAAACAATAGTTACTACCTTATTAGATAATTAAAGTATTATTTTCACAGTATTAACTAATGGAGAGTTGTTTCTTTCGAACAGATATAAATAATGACACGTCTGAAACAAATGTAAACATTTTGAAAAGCTAGAGAAAAGTCACCTTCACTCATTACTTCTATTTTAAATCACTTCAAGTAATGATAAGTTATTATTTTTAATGAATATGGCATTAGAATATTTTAGAAAAGTATATTGCAATATACATGTTTCTGATTTTAATGTAAATATTTGCCTTCCAATGCTTGATTAGACACAATTAGAAGAAATAAATTCTTGAACATGGCTTTCCTCTCTCAGGGTTATAATTGTTCTTTTTTTTAAAATTGTTAATTTAGGAGAAACGTTGCTTCGGTGTGGGGACATTTAATTTTTGTGGTGAAGGAATAAAGAAGGTTGTTTGACCTTGATAAGTCAGTTAGTACCAATCGCGATGGGTTATGCATCAATCACTTCACGGAGTAAAAGAAAAATCAATGTGTAAACCCTGCGTCATTCGGAAGATTAAAAATGTATTGATTTTCTTCTATCTAGAAAAACGCGCCCAGCCGGCTACCTTTTTACCTGATGTTCGATTCAGAGTTTAAGTCACAATAATCATCGATTTTATTGTTATTAAGAATGATAAACTGAGAATTATCTACCTTTGGAAATAAAGAGGTATTCTAGCAGAGATCACACGGGTCTCACCGCTTCCCATGAGAAGTCTATCACATATGTGGAATCTGTGTCGTTTATTGTGCGTGTCTGTCGGAGACTTCATAGAACTTGGAGAGAGTATTTTGGGGATCACACCAAAACCGAGCTTTAATGTTAAGCTACTTTCACATGGGGCCACTGTGTCTGCGCTGCTGGTGGCGGGAGGTCGCCAGCAAGTGCCGCAGCAGCCTGATTTCACCAATTGTGTGAATACCTCCATTTAAACCAATGCTTTGCCAGCAGACGTGCCACACGGAAGCGCTGCTGAGTGGCGCCTTGTGAAAGGCCCCTTCGTCATCCAGGGAACTGTCTCCACTAATACAGAGAGATTACTATAAGAAGGGACCGATTTGACAAATACTGCTTGGACACTGCTGGCAATATCTCAGCAAAGATGCATTCATGCTCAAATTTTGTCAGTGCGTTCGTTTATATTTAGTACATTTACAAATAGTTTCATCACTATCTCTTGTAATTCCATCGCCCTGCATGATGTTCATTTTTTCTCGACCTGTCAACGTGGTCCCTTCTTAGAGTAACTCCTCTGTACCTGCGTCGTGTTTTGCACAATGGGGAATGCGACAGCGACAGATTATAACAAACACTAGCCAGGCTCGCGAAGGCTGTTTGTTTGCGTAACGAACTACTGGGTTAGGGCGTGGAAACTGAACTATTTGTGTCTTTGCAAAACATTTTAGAAAGAAAAATAGAAAACTCAAAAACATTTATTGAAGGGGGATAAAGCACTATAACGCGATTTAGGAAACAACAACACAGGTAATCTATGAAGCAAAGATTGGAACTATTTTAGTAGGATTTTTCGAAAATGTTATGGAAGCAATTTAGAAAACATGTTTCAGGAGTATCAAGTTAGGTAAAGGCTGTGAATTACTGTATTGCCTTTTCGGCATGCATAATATGTATTGAAACAACTTTATTCATCAGATTGATTGATCAATATTTATTATTTACTGATACGTTATTGATTGTTATACCTTTTGATACGGAGTTCGATTTACACTACATAACTAACCTGGATCGAGAGATTCATGGTTTCGAACGAAATATGAAAACAGTCCAATAGTACTTGTTTTCTTTTGGAGGGAATTGTGAAACGCAGTTATGGGAGGGAAATATGAAAAGACAGAATGAAGTTATAAACTAGTTAAGTAGTAAATTAGCAAATTTTAATTATTGAGACTGGGTAAATAAAATTAAAAACTTGTTTATACAACGGACGTTAACTGGTTTCAATAATCTCAGGTGACAAAAAGCCTTCGGGAAACCTTCGGTTTTCTTTTGTCGCGGCTCGATCATTTGAGCCCTTATAACGGCCTTGGTGCGTAAATAACTATTTCGTCGACACTTTTCATGCAAGTCTCCGTTCCCGAGGGCGGGCGAGCCAGGCAACAGCATTTAAAAAAAAATCCTATTGATTATGAACATCTGCATCTCAAATACAAGTTTTTGAAATGAAAATTCTCTCCACGCTAAGTAATTTTGAATCCATTACACTTATGGGAAAGGGAAACTAGGGGAAAACAAGCCTTTTAACAGTAAGATTAATCTTAGAGGAAACAAGCCTTCTCACAGAAAGGTTATCAAAGCTGAAGGGGTCTCTACCGATCGGTATACAAATCGGACAATCGTATCATGCAGGTCAACCGCGGAAGTCTATATCGGCATATGGATACCCAGAAGTGTGTACTAAGTAGTTGGAGTTTTCATTGTTCCATTTGCCCATATTAAATCAATGAAGAACATCATTCCAACAGTGTAGTCCAACCAGTAATGCCCATTGTCAATTGCGTGCTGCAGGAACTGCGTGTTTTGTGGGAGTGCGGAAGTACTCGGTTTCATTTGTTCCTCTTAATGCCGTGAATAGATTCAGCAGCCCTCCGCCAACTTACGCCAAGCTGCAAGGATTGCATGCCCATTTTGTCCAGAACGGCATGATATTTAATTCTAAAACCAGCGTGCACGGCTCTAATTCCGGATTGGAGCGGTGGATTTTTTATAGGCGGAGAATATGTGCAACGTCATGCTTGTGTCATGTCAAAGACCACCATCAGATAACGGGAAAAATTAATTTCTTCGATAATTCCAGTTTTAATTAGATTCTATATTCTGTCAGGCAGGAAGCAAGGAGCAATGGATAATAATTGACTCTATAATTGTTTTGACCTCTACTCGCTAATACTTTAGTCAATATTAGCTGGAAAACTTGAGACAAATATAAAACTGACACCAATGCAGTCCATGTCAGGCGTGGGCGAATGGAGACCTAAGAGCTCGGACTTCAGATGCTACAGCAATAATCGCAACATGACAATTCATTTGTGAATACTCCTGAAACTTTGTCCTGTAGTCCAATATGTTATGTGAGAGGTCATTTCAGGGAACATTATCAATATGTGTAACAAAAGACTAAGATATCAAAACCAACTGCTAATTGAGCTGCCGAACGTATATTTGCGTTGCATGAAAACTCTGCTTTACAGTAAAAGCGATCGCGATCACCAATACTTCTCGCGTCACCGGAAGGAGTGAGCGCCTACACGCGTTAGCCACTGTACTCGGCCAATTGATGCTTTCAATGTGCATGGCTGGCTGAGATTCGGCATTTTCAATTACGACCGGCGCTATGGATATCCGCCTGAACGTTCGAACCGATTGATAATCTCGAATCACTCTGAATATATTTGATGCAGGAAGCAAGTCCACCTTAAATAATGCAAAACTGTAGGAAGTCCTGCATAAAATTGATGCAAAAATGGCAAGAAGGTAAACATAGTTTTCGTAAAAAAAAAAAGATTATTATAACACAATTAAAGAAAATGGTCCGCTTTTACTACAATATAACATATTGTACAAATTAATGTGTAATACTCTTTTACAGAGGAGAAATAAAGTGTATTAAATATAGAATATTGTATTCAATAGTGTCTCTAATAGAAAAACGTACCTATCATGTTTTGTTCAAATTACGAATAATTAGTAATGGTACGCTGCTAGCAATGCTGCTAGCAATGCAAATGTTATATACGCAGTACCTAACGTATGTAAAACTCATGTACTTTTCCTCAGAACGAAACTATATAAATGCCATTGCACAACTCTTTTTTCCGCCAGTGCAGAATCGGAAACTCGTGGCCCAGTAAATTGAAACCGCGCCAGGGAAATGCATGCATCTGCAGACTTCACCGTGATAGCCTGGCACTGCTACAGTGCGTATTGCTCTTAAAAAAATTGACACGGGCGCCAATGACCTTAGCTGTTGAAGCGCCCTTAAACCTTAATCATCACGATCATCATCCGTGATAGTTTCTGAAAAATAACGAAAGAAAAAAATAAAGTAGAAGGTGCAAATACTCGCCTTGCAGATGGGAGGCAGTGAGGTGTCTGAGCCTGGCCGGAGCAGCAAGCTGCCGAGGCTAGCCAGGTTGACGCCGCCCAGGTGGCTCACCATGAAATCCCCGATGCGGCCGACGCGCGGCGGCGCCAGCGGCTCCGCCCCCGGCTCCTGCTGCAGCAACGCACGCGCACGCACGCTTTGTAATGCATTCGCCTCCCGCGGTCTCGCTCTCGCTCTGCGCTCTCACCGGGCACTGGCGCTGGCACTGGTACGCTCGCCTGGCACACTCACACGCGCACACTCGCACGCGCACACTCGCACGCGCACACTCGCACGCGCACACTCGCACGCGCACACT